GCACGGAAAATGCATAACACAATGCCTGGGCCATCCTAAGCCCATCATAAAAAGGGAGTTATCTTCAAATCTCAGCTCTCTGCCTAACAAGATCCACTCTGCTTTTCTCCTTTTCTAAGGAAAAACACACGTTGTAAAATAAGAATTCTTCAAAGACAACACGAAGACATCTGGGAATTCCAAAAGGCTGCAAATTCCATGAGTTCGTAACAGTTTTCCCTAATTCCACTGATCTAAAGACAGAAAGGAAAGAGTCCACTGCGTGCCCAAACTCATTGCTGATGATTTCTTCCATCCGACCCTTTCTGCCTCTCTGGGGGTGCTTGCGCCTGTGAAAAGCATCAAGGTTGTAGGAACAGAGCTTTAGGCTTTCAAGATTGGAATGTCAGAGACTTCTTTTCCTCAGACCAGAAGGGGCTTGGCTGGGTAAGCTAGAAGCTGGCACAGATGAACACCACCAACACCTGGGATGACTGACATACCAAAAGAGGCCACCATAGGGCAGGAAAATGATCATAAAGCTAGCTGAGAGAAGCATCTTATCTAAGTATCTCCAAAGACCCTGTCTACAGGCACTAAAACGTGTGTTGCAACCAGAGACTGGCTACATCTTAGAAATTCTAAATCATGTCATTGTAATGGGTCACGGCACTTTCTCGTAAACATGAGAGATTTTTTTTTTTCCACCTCCTTTTAGGGATAAAGTTCTAAAGCATAAGAAGTAAACCCATTAGGAACTACGAAGTGAGCTGTTCATATTTCAGGTTAGACCTGAAATATGGGTTCGTGGGTTAGACCAAGATGGGTTAGACCGAGATGATCATAGGATTGAGTTGATTTTATGCAGAGAGGAACCCTATTCCTAAAGGTGTCAGAAACGAGACAGGGACAGCCATTAATGTTCAGGTGTTGTCTGTTACTGTCAATAGAGCATTAAATAACACACGACTGGACAAAGACCCAAGGAAAGGGGTTCTCTTCCTCATTAGAACGTAAGCCCTACGAAGACAAGGATTTTTGTGTGCTGTGTTCGCTACTGCATTCCCAGCTCCTAAAATAGTGGCCAGCTCTCAGTAAGCCCATGATCAGCATCTTGTTGAATTTATTAACCAGCTGCAAGAGCATGCAAAGGAGCTGCTAGTCCATCTGTAAGACTCGTTTTCTCATCTGCGAAATGAGGGAGTCGGATTAGATGTTTCCTAAGCTCCAGTTCCAGCTTTAAAATTTTATAGTTCTACCAAAAACTACAAATAAAATATGGTCATTCCATTTTTCACTTCCATCACTCATCTCACTTCTTCATTCAGTGCCCGTGTGACCTCTTCCAGTATGACCAGGCGTAGGAAATGACCCGAGGGGTACCAGATGACTTTATCTTTATCCAAAGATACGTTTTGTTTATTTTTAAAGAGTTATTTGCTTATTTTCATGTATATTAGAAAAATTAAATTACTTCCTAAACTCCAGTTAGGATAATGTTATGGAGTTTGCTTTTCAAATAAACGTGAGTTATAAGCAAATGAACTTAAATAACATATTTTAAGTAAAATATAATGCAAGTGGACAACACAAAAACCAGAAAGGTGGGACAAAAGCAACTGCTAATTTGAGAAACAGAACTCTTCCATCACTACTCATGGAAAAAATCTTAAAACCTGATTTTGACTGGTGCTCTCACAAGGGACTAAATCACAACTCAAGTGACCGCACTATTAACATTTAGCTGAGGACATTCTAGCACTGTATTTCTGTTTATGCTAAAAATAACTGGCTTAATTGTACTTTTAAAAAAACATACTTGTTCTGCTTCTAGCCATAATGCACTAACTACTATTGAATAGCCCATTTATCACGAACAATTACAAGTCTGGATGGAATGTATGAAACCACTGTTTTCAAGACAATGGACTACAAGCAGCACAAAACGATGATCCCTGAGAAAAAGGAAGCAAATGAGGTGATGCCTACCATAGCCCTGAATTTTTGCCTGGAGATACTTTCCAGACTTCCACTCTGGGAAAGGAGACCCCAGCTGAGACATGGGCCTCACTGAGTAGAAAAGATAGAGCTCAAGATCGAGAAATCTGAAGTGACTGGAATTTGTCGGGCAGAGCTCTGAAAAAGAAGAAGCTACATAAAGAGGGCTCGAGAAAATATGCAGAGAGGTACCCTTGAGTTTTCAGCTCTTAAGCTATATAGGCTAAGTCTCCACAATCCAAAAAAACAACCAGATGGAAAGAATAGTTATTGTAGAGCTATAAACCGAACAATTACCAGACCTCCTATTAGGTTGAGACATATTCAAGTTTCTAGAGTGGAGAAACACTATTGAAGTCATGTATCACTCAGTAGACACTCAGAATATCCATGCTTCAGTGGTAACACATAAGTATCCCTTCAATAAAAACTACAGTAGCCCACCCACCTACAGTCTCATGTTCTATAACTTTTGTTCCCCACAGTCAACTTCAGTCCAAAAAATTATTAGGTGAAAAATTCCAGAAATAAATAATTCATGAATTTTAAATTGTGTGCTGTTGTGAGTAGTGTGATAAAATTTCACACCATCCCATTGTGTCCCAACTGGGAGTGAATTACCCCTCTGTCCAGTGTATCCACACCATATACACCACCAGCCCATTAGTCACCTAGATTATCAAGTCAACTATGGCGGTATTACAGTGCTCGTATTCAAGTTCCCCTTGTTTTATTTAATAACAGCCCCAAAGTATAAGAAGAGTGATGCTGACGAATTGGATATGCCAAAGAGAAGCTGTAAAGTTCTCCCTTTAAGTGAAAAGATGAAAGTTATTTACTTAATAAGGAAAGAAAAAAAAAATCATATGCTGACATTGCTAAGATCTCTAGTAGGAATGAATCTTCTTCTATCCATGAAATTGTGAAGAAGGAAAATGAATTTGTACTAGTTTTGCTCTCGTGCCTCAAACTGCAAAAGTTCCTGCCATAGTTCATGAAAGTGCTTAGTTAAGATGGAAAAGATATTACATTGTGAATGGAAGGCATGATATTACATTGTGAATGGAAGGCATGATATTACATTGTTAATGGAAGACATGATATTACATGGTGAATGGAAGACATGAACAGAAACATGGAAGACATGAACAGATATTACATTGTGAATGGAAGACATGAACAGAAACATGTTCATGTTGGCGGTAATCAGGTTTGCTACTATCTTTGGTTTTAGACATATACTGGGGCTCTTGGAATGTATTCTCCATAGATAAGGAGGAACTACTGTACTGCATACCTGCTCTGATAAAACTTAAAAATAAAAATAAAAAAACACTCAAAAAGATTAAACTAATTCACATGAAACTTAAATGCACAACACTCTTTAAAGGAGCACAACAAAATCCAGACATTCAACAATGTAACACTGACAATGCTCAACATCCAATCAAAAACTACTAGACACAGAAAGAATTGAAAACAAAAATGGAAACCTCTTTTTTATAACCAGGAGAAAAATTAGTCAACAGAAAGAGACTCAAAGGTGACAGAGATCATGGAATTAGCAGACAAGGACTTTAAAACAACTATCATTAGTAGTTCAAGTATTTGTATAAAAATATGAATGCAATAAGGGAAATGAAGATTATAAAAAAGAACCCAATAAAACTTTAAAACAGAAAAATATAATATCTGATGTGAAAAAATCCACTAGATGATTACAATAACAGTTTGATGTTTAAGAAGAAAGGTTAGTGAGCTCGAATAGAACATAGAAGGGAAATTGCAGTCTTTTTGGCCACTGGGGCTGTAACAATCAAATGTCTGTAATGAAAAAATATCAACTTTGGTTCCTGCCTCTTACCACATGGAAAAATAAACTAAAAACAGGCCACAGAACTAAATACAAAACCTAAAACTATAAAACTTTATAATCTTGGGTAGGCAAGGATTTCTCAGGACACAAAAAAAAAACACTAACCATAAAAAAATTGATAAGCTGGACTTGATCAACAGAAAAAATTTTGTTGCTGACAGGACACCATTAAAAAATAAGATGTCAAGTCAAAGATAGAAAGAAACTCTTCACAATACACATCATAAAATCGTATCAAGAAAATAAAAAGAATGCTTATAACTCAAAAATAAAAAGACAACCCAGTTTTTAAAATAAGCAAAAGATTTGAACATATACTTTACGAAAGAGGAAACATGAGGGATCAATAAACACTAAAAAATATTCAACATCATAGTCACCATAGAAATGCAGTTTTAAACCACAATAAGATAGCACTGCATAGCCACTAAAATGAAATAAAAGGCTGACATTACAAAAGTTTGTAGAGGATACAGAAGTACTGGAAGTGTCTCCCATGGGTGGTAGGCGTGTGAAATGGTATAAACATCTTAGAACACAATTTGGTAGTTTCCTATAAAGTTCAAAATATGCTTCCCATATAACCCATCAACCTTCTTCTAGGAATGAACCCAAGAAAAATTTAAGAATGTATCTTCCACACAGACTGCTTGTCTATTTGTGTCTGGCTGTCTTTTGAAACACACAATACGAATGAATCTCAAACATATTTTTCTGAGTGAATGCAGCCAAACACAAAAGAGTACATACCACAAACCTCCACTTGTTTGAAGATCTAAAATAGGTAAATTTAGTCTGATAGAAAATGTAATGGCTGCTGAGGTCGGGGTGGGAGTTTGGGCAGGGACAGAAGAGAATAATTCAGTTCCCTTGGAATTTTCTGTGTGTTGATTTACAAGATAGTTGCTAATGCATATAGTTAGTTGCGAGATAGTTACTAATGCATTTAGTTAGTTGTGAGATAGTTGCTAATGCATATATCAAAACCTGTCAAAGTGTACACTCAAATACATTTTGTCGCACATAAATTATACTTCAATAAAGTAAATATGTAGATTTATACACTCCTAGGGAAAAATTATTATGGACTTCACCTACGCATCTTTCGTATCATGCATCTTTTTGTTTTTTTCTTGTGTTTCAGATTGATGTTATTTTATGACTCTCCTTTCCTGCTCCTGGTAAAGTTTCAGCCCTGCCACCATTAAGCTGCATGACCAACATAGACCAACATAACAAGTGATAGCTGTTGTCATGACTACAGACAACTTCAGTTGTACATAAAAAAACAAAAACAAAAACCACTTTGCAGACTCTTCCCAATCAGATGGCAAACCTATGAAAGGTTTGTGGCATACCAATTGAGATCCACAGATCTATATTCTTCTAGCTCATGTTAATGCCATACTGCTTAATCTAATTTTTCCTTATACAGATCTTTAACAACTCTGCTTCCTTTTTTTCTTCCTCTGAACAAAAACTAAGGATGTTGTCTCAAGTTTATACTCCTGAATGCCATGCATGGGTGAAGGGAAACAAGAAGAAACTTGGAGCAAGATTCAACAACTCCAGCCATGCTTTCATTATCTAAGAGCCTTTTTTGGACCAAAGATCATACAGACTGGGCGTTTCTTTGCCAAGAACATCAGATTTTTGGTTTCAGCTCATGATCCAGTAGCTGAAAATGTGTCAACTTGGTGAAAGTATCAGTTCTGTAGTCTCTGTAGAGTGGTGGGCAAAATGAACATCGGCATTAAACAGCCAGAAACCAAAGGTACATTGTGAGCTAGCAACAAGGAATAAGAGAATCTTAACAGATATAATTTATAGCATTACTGTTGATGAAGTTAGTAACCTTTAGCAAGGAGACATCAAATCAATAGCTTCCTGAGTGTTTGCAGCTGCAGAAATTTAAGCGGGAATTGACCAGGAAGTAAGGTGCAAGAGGAATGGGCAGACTATTTAAACCAGGTGAAAAAAATTTAAGGTTCATTACATAAAGAAGTGTCCAAAACGTGGGATTAGAATAATGATTTCTTCAATTCCCTACAAAAACTGGGGGCAGTGTTTATGAAAAAACATTGCAAATTGAAAGAATCATATATTGATGAATTCATGGAAAGAACATTTGAGTGTTTGAACTGTGGCTTTGCAAGTGCAGAATGAGAAAAGATATCCTAAAAACTGAACGCAAGCGCTTGTATTTGTCAATGCGCCATCTCTCTCTCTGTTCGGATTTTATGGTGTTATTGGTGAGATGCTTATCAGGCACCCTACTCAATTGGACGCTGTTATGTCGAAATACCGAGTTAATCAACAGAGTAGATAAGGGATAAAGGCTCTGGGAAGAAGCACATTAGGGCTCAACTCCAGCAGGATGAGTCTTGAACACCCTTGGGGATGTAACCATTAAACAAAGCAAGGAGGCCATACTGCTCAGTGAACTCAATGGGCCCCAATGGGAATTTCAGAGTAAATTCATTTTTAAGATGTGTAGGAATGTGTTAATCATTCAAAGTGCTTTTTTCTATTCCAAGGCAATTCATGCCACCACATCTTTTCATTTAATACCTGATCAGTTTGCTTAAAGGATTAGGAAGTGAAAGGGTGCACTCCAAGGAGAGCGATCCTTCTTATCTTTACATTTTGCATTTTTTAAAACTCCTTTCACAGCCTTATACAAATCTGTATTAGTTCTGCTGTCAGAACCTAAGAGTCTATCTTTTGGCTTACAGGAAACCATGGGGTGTTTAGGATGCTGATGTTTCATAGTATATCAAAAAAAAAAAAAAAACAAAAAAAAAAAAACAAGCAAAGGGCTCACCAAAAATAGAAGACACCATGAAAGTGGCAAAATGATCGGGTAATTTCGGGCAACACAGATGCTTCATTTTGCAGAAGGAGATACGCTTATATCCTCAAAAATTTAATGCTGCTATTTCAAGACATTTATTTAAAAAGTGATAGTAAATAAATGCGACCTTTTATGACTTCTTGCCGTGTATCCCCTTGCCTACCCTTACAAGTATATCAACTTGAAGTCAGTGATTATTTAATTTTAGATTCAAGGCCCAAATGCAATCGGAGCTGCCTGTGGGAATGAGTGACATTCCATAGAAGGCCTTCTAACTTTTCATTATCTTCAAACTAAATGAAATTAAGAATGACTTTTACGAAAGACGGTGAAATTCGTCCCAGTGACCTTTTTGACTTGGGGAGATTTGATTGAAGGTTTGAATGCTGTGCACACACTCGTTCTTTCCATGAGGCCAGCTCTTGTTAGAGTTAGCTGCCTGCATTTTCCCAGGAACAAGAGCAACCACAAGTACAACCTTTATTGGCTTTTTTTTTTCTCTGTTCATATCACTGTGCTTCAATTCACAATCGCAAACATGTGGAAACAACCCAAGTGCCCGTCAATCCATGAGTGGATTAATAAAATGTGGTATATGTACACCATGGAGTACTGTTCAGTTATAAGAAACAATGGTGATCTAGCACCTCTTGTATTTTCCTGGACAGAGCTGGAACCCATTCTGCTAAGTGAAGCATCCCAAGAATGGAAAAACAAGCACCACATGGACTCACCAGCAAATTGGTTTTACTCATCAACACCTAAGTGCACATATAGGAATAACATTTATCGGGTGTCGGGCAGGTGGGAGGGGGAAGGAAGGGATGGGTATAGACAAACATAATAAGTGATATGTGCACCAACTGGGGGATGGACACACTTGAAGCTCTGGCTCGTGGGAGGAGAGGGGGGAAAACGCAATGCCCGTAACCTAAACATCTGTACCCCCATAATATGCTGAAATTTTAAAAAAATCACTGTGCTTAAGTCTTTTTACATATAACTCACTGATTCTCTGAATAACCCTATCCATTAGTGATTTCCATTTTCATTTTGCAGTTGAAGAAACTGAAGCACAAAGAATAATTAACTTGTCCAACGTCACAGAGCTTGGGAAAAGTTGAAGCAGAGGTTTGACCTTTGCATAAAATCATGCCCACACATGCAAAAGGAGCACAACAGGACTGGCTCCATCAAGTACCACCTGGAGATGTCCTTCAGCTAAAAATACTAGACAGGCTGAAAAAGCAAAATCCCAATCAACTGATGATCAGGTAGGTCGATATTTTTCTATGTCCAGCGACAGAACTGAAGAGATCTTTCTTGTGGCTAGTCTCCATGAATCTCTGTTAAAGAAAAAAACAAATGCCAAAAAGTAGGGCAGGGTACCATTTGAAAGACAAGAAGGAAATGTTAGAATCACTTTCTGGCGGTACCACTTATTGCTGAAGTGTTCTCCACCAGAAAGCAACTTTCAAAAATCACCAATAGTTTTAAGCCTCTGTGGCTTACTGAACGGTGAGCTGGCTAAAGAGGGCGGATTTTTTCTGGTCTGTTGTTATGGAGTTGGGCACAGTGCATGCTTGCTCAGTGGCATGGCAGGTAAGGTTAGGAATTATGTCCTTTGTACAGATTTGGAACTTAGGCTCAAAACATGCTCAAGGTCACATAGCTACTACCGAGTTTCCCCGAAAATAAGCCCTACCCATAAAATAAGCCCCACGGACTGCTCATAAGCATGTGGCAATAGAAGCCGCTCACCCAGAAGAATAAGCCCTAGGCTGGGCGTGGCTATGAAAATAAGGCCCTAGTGGTGGGGCGTGGCCATAGAAAATAAGCCCTGGGTGCTGGGGCTGGCTCATGAAAATAAGGCCTAGTGCGTTGGGTGTCGGCTATGAAAATCAAGCTCAGTGGTGGGTGGCTATGAAATAAGCCCTAGTGATGGCGTGGTACGCACCATCTGCCACCATGCATGTCGTCGCTCATCATGGAGAAAGAACATGGCAGGCCTTCTCATCTGCCCCGTGAGAGCTCTATGGCTCGGTCCGTGAGAGATCGGGGCCAGTTGGTCTAAAGGAAAATAGAGTCGACAAGACATTCATGGATGGAATTAGGGTTTGGAGAGTTGAGGATGATGTTTCCAGAAGAAGGACACGACTTCACTCTATTGATCAATGTAGAATGGTTGTATCGTACTTAAAAAGAAATAACACATCCCTAGAAAATAAGCCCTAGGGGTGTCTTCTTGAGGAAAAATAAATATAAGACTCTGTCTTATTTTCAGGGAAACACGGTAGGTGGTAGAGCTAGGATTCAAATCCTTGGGATATCTGACTACAGACCTCTTGCTCTTTCTACTCCCCAACCCTCAGAATCCCAACACAGAAATAAATAAAGATAATCATTGTCCAAGATGAGTTTCAATTGTTAGTGTATCTACTGAGATAGGTTTGGGCTTTGCAAATCGCTGGTTAGTGTTCCACCCTGTTTCAGCTCCTCTTTCGGCTCCTACAGGAGACAATTCCCCTTAAAATGTGAACACTCACAAACGAACCAAACCTAGTGATATCAGATTAGCTACATTTTCCAAACAAACAAGGTGTAGGAGGGATGGGAAACTAACCTGACCTTGTTCTTGAGATCGGAGATGCTTAAAAGGCTTATGTAAAAAAAATAAAAATAAATCCCCACGGGGGATATATTCACTATTTTTCATCAGTTCAGCTCAGGTTCTATTGCCTAATCATTTTCTTATCACCAAATATTACATATTTACACAGGTGCCGGTCTGATTTAATTGTTTGGAAGCAGCCACTGGAGGCAAAGCCATGTGACTCAGCCTTGGTGATGTGGTCCAGCTGCCGTCTGACAGGTAAATAATTACCACTAATCAAAGCCGAAATGAATGCAGGTTCTTCAAAGTCAGGTGGGGGAGAAGGGGGCAGGGGTTATAAATGAACTGTTAGGAATATCAGAAGAAATAAGAGCAGGGCATCCTGGTCTTAGATGAAAACAACAAAGAGAACAGTTCACATCAGTGAGACCTCGGGTGAAATGTGTATTAAAAAGCACAAAGAGCTTTGGCTGGGGCTCCGTTGTTCCCCAAGCAGGCATAATGAGTCCAGGTATCTTAGGGGCCTCTCTGGGTCTATAAAATTGATTTGGTTGATGAGCTGTGTGTGTCCTTGTCAGTTCTTGAGGGGTATCATTTCACGATTGCATTATGCAAAAATGCAGATTTCTTGACATTAAGAAGGGGAAAAAAAAATCCCTTTCCTTGCCTCTGTATGGGTAAATATTGTTTAACATAAAAATCAAGAATGAACACATTTGCTCCTTAAGAGCAAATCGTGCGAGCTGGATTGTGTCTTAAGTGAACAGATTCAGACGGGAGGCCGTCCATCCTCCAGGGGCCCGTGGATCTCAGTAGAAAATTCCACGGAGTCATTATGAAGCATGGCTTCCCCAAGGCTGGAGCCCCCGGGTGATGTATTTAAGAGTTTCGAGGACGTTTGTTTAAAAGCCAGCCTGCCCTGGCTGTAGAGAAAGCCTTCCAGCCTTTTTTTTTTTTTTTTTTGCAAGTCATTTTTCAGCTTGCTGGTAATGAACAAAACAGGTCTGATAATTTTCAATCATTCTCAGGAAATGTGCGGTTCAGGACTGCAGTTGACACAGAAATCTAGTCCAATCAGTGTCCAGAGTGATGTCTGAAGACACCTTCTGTGTTTTGGGACAGGCCAGCAGACTGTATCAGCCACAACAAGGCCATATTTTGACTGGTTTTCATCAATTTGACTCGGGTGGGTTTTTTTTTTTTTTTCTTTTCTTTTCCTTTTTTTTTTTTCCTGCTTCTTGTAAAAGCATTTGGCTTCGAAGCAGAAAGAGAGTTTTTTTTTTTTTTTTTTTTAGTTGTAATTCAAAGTACTCTCTTATTGTCTCATAAAATGTGAGTTGGAGGATTTACCTTATGGTTTGGCTCTTGGCAGGAAGCAAGAAAGGGTCCAGCACATCAGGGAAAAATATTAAATGACCACTTAAGATTCTCTTCTTCAGCCTGAAATTATGGTGCATAACTTTGCAGTCTGAGCAGAATTCCCACTAGGGCCTTGAATCTAGGGGTCTGGGAGAAACACGTGCTCCCTTTGGGGCTTTGGAGCGAGCACCCCAAATTTCACAATCCGGAAAAAAAAAATACCAACATCTTAAGGAAATGGTTCTAACTGCCTGAGGTCTTCCAAGATGCAATGCTATGTGCTGACTCGGGAAAACTTAGGTCAACATGCTGAAAACATTTGCAGGCCTGGAAAATAACTGGTTTAATAATTCAAGATGCTTTTAAGTTACAAAAAAAAAATGCATAAAAAACAAATAAACCTCCCTTTCCCGAAGTGCTGTTATTATGGTAAGCCACTCCCCAGAGGAAAGAAACGGAGCTTAGAGTCCGATGCAAATTCAGTTTTGTGAAAGTCTCTGACAATTGACAAAGAACTTCACCACCCCACCCTACACCCTAAATGGACTAGTGGAAGTATCTTTTTCATGACTTCAAAATATTTAGATAAAAATGAAATATTTAGTCAACACCCCAGATGTATTTTCCTCTGGTTATCATACATCTCAGCGTTTCCAAAGGGATTTTGAAGTGTTCCTAGAATATGCACGAGGGTTTCTTAACCTTGACGCTTCGAATGCTCCACACTGGATAGTTCTTTGTGGACGGGGATATTGCATATTGTAAGGTGTTTAGCAGCACCCTTGGTTTATACTCACTAGATGCCAGTAGTGCCTCCCCCCAAAGCTGTGACAACCAAAAATGTCTCCAGACATTGCTAAAATGCAAAATCGCCACCAGTTAAGACAAAACTTCACTTTTACTGCTTCATTCCCAGATACCCACTGTAAGATAGGTGCTATTATGATCCCGTTTCTCCCTGGTTTATAAATAATGTGAAAGTGGCTTAGAGAGCAATCAGCGACCTGTTCAACGTCGTAGGCTAGTTGGTGGCAAAGACAGGACTTCAACGAGGTCTAGAAAGCCTACACTCTTTGCCCTAACGCTGTAGACCCCCGGGGTCTGACTTGTAGGTGCTCTGTCTGTGATCGAAGAGTTCTGAGAATACAGAAACAAATTCTTTCTTCAAAGAGTCACAAAATGACTCCAGTCAGATTTCCTCTCAGTTCAAAGATGTCCGCTAAAAAGCAGGAAGGACCACACAGTTGGCCCCATACCTGGATGTGTGTAGCTGAGCCACACGTAATTGCTTCCATTTGCTCTTTAAGACTTCCAAGTTATTTCAATTACTCCAGTGGATGGCTACGTCGAAAAGGCCTGTCAGAGACACGACAAAGCAGAACTGTCATGACCCTGGTTGACAGCCACCATGTAATGGCAACAGAACTTGGGAGTTGGGTACGACTAAGGTTTTCTGCTCATTAGCTCTGGGAATTTGGGGGGAAACTGATTACCTTCCTTTAGCTTCTCGTTTCTTATCTGAAAAAGGATGAGCACAACTATCTTGCAAGGTGCGTGTAAGGAGAAGATAACACACACAGAGATGATGACGTAGAATTTAGTATGTAATAGTGACTAGGTGCATGGCCATTGTTATGATTCATTTAATGGCTGAGACTCAAAAGGAAATTCCGTTATTTTCAGAGCTGGCTGGTGGAGGAGAGGGACTTGGTAACGTTTATTGAGCTTTTACTATACACCAAGCACTGGGCCAAATGCTTTACATGAATTACTTAATTTCATTCATGGGGTTCATTCCCTGCTGGCTGTTTCAGGCCCCGCTCTTTGGTTTATTTGCTAATTTATCTATTATCTGTGTCCCTTATGAGAAAGCATGGAGCATGTCTGTTTTATTCATTGTTGTGCCTCAGTGTCTTCTACCTCAATGATTGTTGAATTAATGAATTAATGAACCCATGGGGGGAAAAAGATCCCTCTAGGAATGACCTTTGTCTTCTTCTATCAAGCGATCTTGATTCATGGCCACTCTTCTGGGATGAGCTCATTTCTCATCCTTCCTACAGCCGTCAGCTTGCCCCTCACACCCCCTGCCTTGAGCATGGACTGTCGTGGCCACATCAGAATTCTCCCGTGCTCCCAGCCGTGCTCCTCGCTGCTGCTTGGAAACCTTCCTCACACACCCTAATCAGCAAGCCTCAGGTGTGTCATTGTCATTGACTGAGTCCCGGCCAGCATTATCCACTCAGAGCCAACGCCTGTCATGACCAACCCCAGCTTGCCCTAACCCACCTGACCTTCTACCACTTACTGGTGTCACCGTGTTCCAGGAAGACCAGTATCTGCTCGAACACTTTGGTATGTGAACTTCAAGGCCATCCCACCACTGAGTGCATAGCTTATCGAATGTCTCCTAGGTTCCAGGTACTGTGTCCTGTGTATGCTTCAACACAAAACACGATTCCTGTCCTTCAGAGCGTAAAATATATTCCGGGAGAAAAACACAGACAATCGCAACACATCGATCTATTTGAACAGGATTGTAGTGGGCACCAGGCAGGCACCTGGAAATGTCTGTAACCCTCACCTGGGAGGTCAGAGTAAGCCTCACTTGGGAGGGGGGACGATATCACCTGACACCTGAGAGGCAAGGTGAGCAATGACAGATGCTTTGGGGAGGGAGTGGCAATCACAGACAGGGGCTGTACCCAGTTAGAACCCTGCTCTGAAGACAAAGGGCAATCATAGAGGAATGTCAGGTGGGTTAGTTGAGATGTTACTATTTGAGATTAAAAGGGGGATGGATGGCCTTGCCAAAGACACTTAAACACAATAAGGTCCCCATTCCTTTCCTTATAAAATAAAGGCTTATAAAACCAACCCATACCCTGGTTCCAGGGCAGAAAAACGGAATGTCAACTCCCCAGTGCAGCAGATAATTTCGGCCTCGGAGTCCGAAGCCATCTGGAGAGCCTACACACTGGTCGAGCCTCAGTTTCCTCATCTGTCCAATGATGACGATTAACCGACACTACGATCTCCCAGGTCTCTCCCACTTCCTCCTTCCTTCTCTGAATCCTGGCCTCTTGCAAGGAGTTGTCTTAAGGCTATAAATTTGCTGAGAAGAGTCATCAGAGGAGCTTGTTAAAGTCGTGGAATCACTCTGAAACGCAGGACTGTAGGTGGGGTCTTTAAAACAAAAAAAACAAAACAAAACTCCAGTACTCCGGGTGAATCTCATGCAGGTGGCCCTCAGACAAAACTTTGAGAAACCCTGGGGTAGAAGAACGAGTCCTTTCATGTAAATATGAAAGAGTCCCGGGGAGGTGCACTCCTTTGGGAGTTGGCGTGTGCAGAGTTAAGCAAAAGGAGCCCCAGAGCAATTAATTCAATTAAACCTTTAGAATTAGAATAGACCATCTTAGGATCATTAGAACAGACCATCATCTCATGGAATTGAAATGGACATGACAAAAATCCCCACTTATTACTCTAGCTGTGTGTGCTGCCCTGTGCCAGTCACTGGGTACTCACTGGCTCCCCTCACTGCCACAACCAGCCAGCGGGCAGGTGGCAGGGTGGTCCGGTTCCTACTCTGGGGGTGGCATAAACATGGAGGACGGACGCCAATGGTCTTCGCAGTGAGGAGCACGCACCACAAATGACGACAGACTTTGGCGATCTTTCTAGCTTCCCATCATCTGGTCATTGATGTTTCACCCACGTATTGAGCAGACTTGCCCTTTGCTTTTGTGTTGCTTAGCCAACATCCTTTTTTTTTTTTTTTTAACCATGACAACTGTCTTGTCAAAGTACTACCATGAGATACGATTGGAAATATGCCACCCTTTGAGAATGTGCTCAAGGGAATCCATCCTCCACCTCTTCCCTGCCTTCTAGATACGCCGCGAAGCAGGTAAAAATCAAAGTCGAATGCATCAAAGAATTCATCTGTGAAAATCTTCACAGGAAATAATCCATCAACCTTTGAGACGGGCAGGCTCTAAAAACCAGAGTGCCTCTCTGCATTCAAAACCATAACTAATGTTGAATTAGAATAAGCTGAACGCCGGGTATACTCAAACAATGCAAAAAAAAAAAAAAAAAAAAAAAAGAACCTGAGGAGAATTTGATTTCAAAAGGCTAAGCATGCATTCAGAATTATCCAAGGAAATAGGCGTTCTGATATTAAGAGGATGGGAAGAGATAGTCCTTGTTGTCACTATCGAGGTGTTCTTGGTATTGAGGAAGATGGCACAATGGCCTGGAGAAGCTCAGTGTGCAGAGTTTTTAAGCAACATTAGCCTTGATTTTTAGTTCGAGTTCACTCTGCATCCTTCTGCTACGAAGATTAGATTCCAAAGGGAACGTATTCAGCAGCATGCAGTACCAGTTATACTTTGTCATCGTGACTCTCGTGGACAAGCAAGCTCACGTCTCAGGTATCTCAGATGACAAGGTGACCTGAGTGAGGCCGAATGGGCTTTGGAGGCAGGTAATAGGTCTGGATTTGAACCCTCGCTTCACCGCTTTCTGGCTGCGTATCTTTGGCACGTTGCAAAATGAGATCCCGAGCTTCCTCGGCTATAATAATAAACCAGAGTTTCTTATGATGCATCGTGAGAAAGAGAGAGAGGGAAAGAGAGAGAAGAACAATAAATATAGAAACAAAACAAGACATAAAAACCATTCACAAGGCAGGCACACAACAAAACATCAAAAAACATAAACAAAAATCACGAGGCTTAACCATAACGAACAAAAACAACACCACCACTCCCAGCTCAGGGACCTGTTAAAAAAATTAGTTTCTGAACCTGCAAAACAACACAAATACAACACAAAAACACACAAAATAATAACAACATACCATGGCATAAAAGCCTTCCCTTCTATCAGCTTAGCACAGGATTGTTCTTTATGCAGGGTGCGTTTTCGCACATTTTGATGCACGAAATTCCATAAACCATCGCGTGTCTTCGAGGCTCACTCCTATGCAAATAGGTGCCAACTCGCCTGTTAAACATAATTTCCCCACTCTCTATTAATCTAATGCATGATCCTCCGCCACGAGCGTTTTGAACGTACGTCATGTCAGTAATGCTCTACGAGTCACGGATTACATGTGCTGGTATTATACAAGGGACACAGCACACGTGCCTGGGCCAAGCGCGCGCCCTGCTCCAGTTATGGATGGGAAAAGAGACTACTCGAAGTGTGACATGAGAAAGAGCCGCTGAAGACGGCAGCCGCATGCGCTAAGAGATGTCACTCGCAGGAGGACACCTAGCTGACTTGGAGAGTTCCAAATGGCTTCTTCCGGAAAAGTACATCCACGCCCAGGCACGTGAAGGATCGAGGTGAGAGCAGAGCCCAGAAGATGCCTCAGATGCTTGCAACAGGACACAGTACAGTGCAAGGCTCTTGACATTGAAAAAAAACGAGAATCAAAACGTAAAAACAAAGAATTCTGGTAAATTGGGAGGGCCGGCGACGGGGGGTGGTGTGGGGGGGGAAAGTAAAAAAAAAAAACAAACACAAGAGATCGCTGCACCATCTGGGGGATGGGTCATGCTGGAGACTCAAGCCATTTTGGGGGAGGGGGGGAAATGGCATCTTATCTCGAAACCTTTCAAATCTGATACCCCCCATTAACTATGCCAAAATAAAAAAAACTGATAGAATAAGGCTAGTAAACTATTGAAAGAAAAATAAAATAAAATAAAATAAAAAAAAAGAACTTTGGTATGGTTGGACGGAGACCTTCCCATCGTATTTATTCCTGCAAGGCCATGTGTTGGTCAAGTGTCTGAATTTCCTTTAGGCTTGTTGCAAATATCCCCCAGATCAGCGTCGCCTTTGCAAACCCCCGGAGATCTGTAGAATCCTGGCTGAGAATCGGAGCAGCGACTTTGGGCAACGAAACCCGAGCTCGATCCCACTCCACCATGTCACCTCCTGAGCAGAACGCTTGCCTCTGAGCGTCGATTTCTACCTCTACTGCAATGCGAAGAACATAGCACCTGCTCTGGGACGCAGTATGGGCGAATTCGATTCTAGCTATGATGACTCTCTGTAAGGCCTCATGGCATCCACCATGACATACTGTGGACACTCAAATCACAAACATTAGGCATCACACCAGCGACAAGCCCGAGAATCGTAAAACTGGGTCCCACTGGCCAAACTGGACGTAGCACCTGCGGTCAAAAGCCAGGCTATCAAATGTAAAGTTTTCTGTTTTGAAGACCAAAATCCTCATTAGTAATAATCATACAATGATAATACTTGCTACTATTGAGTGCTGACTGTGGGCCAGGCACTGCTGACAAACATCTTACCTTCTAATTTATTTCCTCTTGCAATCATCCTATGAGGTCATTTGTATTCTCATGGAAATCATTATCCCATCCCCCCCACCCCGCCTACGATTCTACAAAAGAAAAGAAAAAGGTTCTTGAGCTTTAATCCATTTTGACATTTGGAATGAAGCAAAGCTAAATGGCTTTCTTTTCCTACAGAACTTCCCAGGGACTTTAGTCTGAAATTACACAGTGTCAAATCAAAGTGGGAGGAAAATAGTCCACAGGGTTTTCCGAATGTATTTTGACCATGCAATCCCTTTTTGGTTGAGTGCATATTAAAAGCTCATTTAAATGTACTTTGTGAAGTGCTAAAATAAGAATTATCAGCTCCGTTCCACGTCTAAGAGAACTGGACCTCAGAGAAGTTAAGTAACTTAGCTGATGTCACACAGCTAACGAGTAGGAGGGGCCATGATTTGAAAGCAGGTCTTTCCAACCCCGAAAGCACATTCGAGGCTGCGGGACAATCATGTGTAACGTAGCCCCAGTTCCTAGAAAGACAACACAGACTGCTACATATGTTGAAGCCATAACAATTCTGGGGAGAGTGGCGTCCTTAACAGTAACCAAAGAAAACCTCAGGGTATCAAGTCGGGGGTCTGAGTTTGAAAGGGTGACAGTCACCTCCAGTCCTGGAAAAAGGCAAAAAGCACCACTCTGGGTCCTCAGGATCAATGCTTTCCTGCTATTGAGTCACCAAGCCCCGGACTCAGAGCTCAGCCACCCACCTACCTTATTGGTTGTCACTGCACCCTGGGCCATCTTGCTCAAGTCTCATAGCCCGGACCCCACCAACAGTGGCCTCGTTTTTCTGCATACCTCTCAGTGTTTGAGTGGCGCTTAGTGACAGCTCACACCTGGTTGTCCCTTTGGCAAAGGCAGCCGCAGCCCACTGCTGAGCATAAAAGTAAAAAACTCATTTAGCCCAAACCCTATAATCCCCACACTCCTCCCCCCCCAAAAAAATCTCGGAGAATATGAAAAAGCATTGCCCCCCTCTCATTCCCTTGGCATTATGGGAACAGGGGAGACTTTCATGCAGTCCAGCGGGCCATATGTTTGAAGGTCAAACAACACCTGGGCGTTTCTTTGAAAGAAACTAATTGAGCCTGGATGATTTAGAGTCCGTCTCGCTGAAAGACTTGCTGGATCGCCAATGGTAAGGCAAGCCCTGCCTTTGAAAGCTCCAGGTCCTTCCGACCCCCGGCTTCATCAAATGGCAATGAATATCTGACACTGTTCAAAGATGAAGAAGGCCTGGGCTCGAACTGAGAAAGGAGAAAAGAGAAGGGATTGCTTTCAAAATTGCAGTGAAAAAAAGAGCCCTGGCCCCAGGGGTTCGGGGTGGCAAAGAAATCAGAGCCGGCCGAAGGGAGTTTCAGACCCTCAGCGTGGTGGAGAACACCTGGGAGACATCCTAACAATACGGGCTTCCTGCCTGGCCCTTCCCCTTTGTTCCTCTTTTAGCTGGTTTTCATGGAAACCCTGTGTGTTGGAACAACACGGAATTAACCCGGACAGAGACCGGTTGCATCCAGATTGGGAGAAACACGTCAACGCCACCATTTGGTTTGCATAACATGTCACCTTGCACGCCCATCGCCTTGTTCGGCGGGTGCTCAGGTGGCTTTACCTGGGAGCCAAAGGTGGGCCCCTCCCTGCTTAGGACCGGTCTCCCAGTCCCATAGACACCCAGGACCTTGCACTAGCCTACGTCATTCGCTGGAATTGCGACGACATATTTCTGCACCGCCCTGTTGTTGTCTTTTCCTGCACTTGACTGTCAGCTCCACGGGGACCCACACCCATCCCGGTCACTGCTGCACCCTCACCACCTAGCACACAATGCATCGACGTGTCCCCTGATCGTTCTTTCTGAAAAAAAATAAATAAATAAACGGATAGCGTCAGAAACCAGTGATGGCGCTAGAATAATACAATCTGCAGAGCAAATGTATCAGGTGCATAAGTGATGTTTTAAAAAAAACAGAGGAAATGCACAGGCATTTATTTTCATCTCATGATTTTAAAAATGCACATTATCTTGTCGATGATTACGCTGTTCAGTTTCAGGCACGCCAGACCATTATGACGGAGGGAGATTATGGAAACCAAAATAATGACCGTGACAATGGAGGCACAGTAATAATGAGGGCCGGAGCTAAGGCTCATGGAGGCCCTGTGCTGGGTCCTGTCCTTGTATTACCCCACATGATTGTCTCGAAAGGTCTATGAAGTAGGTGTCCCCATTGTACAGAATTAAGGGACTGAGGACGCCTTGAGGACTGGAGCCTATCTGTGCTCTTAAACAGCACGAGGGGACAAGAGGGGACAGTTCACTCATTCATGCATCCATTCATTCAACAACTCTCTGGGTATGTGGTCCGTCCTAGCTAGTGCTGGATACTGCAGATGACAACAAGCCGGAACAGATAACCGGCCCCATTCTTTTGGAACTTCCAGTCTAGAGGGGGGGACAGATGTTGATCAATAATCACACACTCAAAAGAAAAAACACAGCCGTTGTAAGTGCTACAAAAGAAACACTATGTGAGCTATTAGGAGGGATTAGTCCTGAGCAGCTTATCGAGCTAAGATCTGAAGGAAGACTAGACATTAGCCAGGGAAGGAGAAGAGGAAGAAGTGTTCAGGGAAAGGGAAAAGCTGTGCAAAGGTCCTGTGGTAGGATGTGCTATATGAAGGAATAAAAGAAAGCCATAAGAGGCTGGAATGGTGAAAGCAAGAGGCCGTATATCAACAGAAAGCTAGGTAGGTTCTAGAGCAGTGGTTTTCAAACTTGAGTATACACATTAGAATCACCTGGAAGGGATGTTAAAATATAATCTGCTGGACTTCGACCCCAAAGTTTCAGATTCAGTAGATCTGGGATGGGACCCGAGATTTTGAATTTCAAAATATACTACTGGGTCGTGCTGATGCATCCTGAGCCTACTCTTTGAGGACCACTGCCCTGGACCATGGAGGTCTAGTGAGCTATTGGGGTGCATTTTGGACTCTGCCCCAAGAAGAAATGAAAAAAAAAAAATAATTGAAGGATTCTAAGCATGGGGGAGACAGGGCCCAATTTATATTTTGAAAAGTCCTTCTAGAAGCAGGGTAGAGGAAAGACTGCAGGGGAGGTATTGTGGAGGCAGACAGACCAGTCCAAGGTAAGCTACAGGGTTCGGAAAGACATGATGGTGGCCTGAACTAAAGTGAAGGCCGTGGAGATCGAGAGAAATTGGATGGATTCAAGAGAGACTTAGAGGGTGAAACTCACAGGACCTGGTGGTTAGTAAGGGAGTCAAGGCAGAGAACAGTTCCTTGGCTGCTGCTTGAGCAAGTAGACAGACAGTGGTTTCGTTCCGCGTGGGAGGCCCTGGAAGGGGCCCAGGAGAGAAGATCACGCGAGCTCGGTCTTGGACCTGCTGGGTGTGGGGTTCTTTCGAGACCTTCAGAAGACGGTCGGTAGACAGTTGGTCTATGGGTCTGGAGTTAAGTCATGAGATCAAGGCTGGAGATAAAACCGTGAGTCATCTGAGCATACATGCGATGAATCCACGAGATCACCAGGCAGAAACATTAGACTAGGAAGAGGAGAGAGATTGGGACCTTCAACGCCTAGTGGCTGGGCAAGAGAAGACGAACCTACAAAAGGAGAAAGACAAGGAGCACTAGGACAAAGACCAGAGGGAATTAATTGTGCGTAGACAGCAACAGGCCAGGGAGGAGACAGTAGGCAATAATGTAAGTGCCACTAAGAAATCAACTCAGGTGAACACTAGGGAACGTCTTTTGCTTTCAGGAATATGGAGGAGACCCTGATGAGGAGTATTTGGGCGAAGGGTGAGAGGAGAATTGGGGGGTTCCTACAGCTGAAGTTGGGGGAAGGGGTCTTTCACCCCAACCTTCATTTAGCATTATTCTCCATCTCTTTCACTCTCCATTTGTAGCCAGGACAATTATTTTCCCGCTCCATTCACGGCCACGTGAATCAGGACTTCACTCTTTCCTTTTCTACATCCCATTTACTCTTCTTATCACTCCAATTTGACTTCTAGCACCATGACAATTTTTTTTGAAACGTTCCATCTATTTGTTATCTGTGGACTCAAGCCACACGGTAGTTGCAAAAATCTACCTACTCTTAATAGGAAAGATCCCAGCTCTTATTTTTCCTTGAAGAGCTCAAGAATATCAGACCGTAGGTCCTATTCTTATTTCTCTCCTTGGCCAGTTGCCTTTAGCGCATGGCCCACCAGGGGACTCTTTGCTGAGTAGACCATTGTGAGGTAAAGGCAAAGTAAAGTGAAAGAACTCACAAGTCCTTTACTTATGTTAGAAGTCTGCATGTCTATGCGGGGGAAATTTTTTTTTTTTTTCTGGCCCAAGTCACTCTCAGTTCAACAGCAAACTTAGAGATTGGGATTCAGAGCCCGTTAGACAAGGACACAAACGTTAGCTTTGCAACTTTTCAGCTGTGTGACCTTACATAAGGTATTCGACCTCTCTTGAGACTCATTTTTTTATTTATAGTTTAAAAAATGCATAACCCTACCTTAAAATATGGTTGTAAAGGATTAACTATTCAGCACACTATCTAACTTGTGTTGAGCACTTATGTTATTATAGTCACTATATAGTGGCCAAGCAGCCACAATGGAGAAGTACGAAAAACAACTGTATAAGAAAATATTGTTTTCTAAAAGACATCATTAAATCCTGGATATTTATTTGGATTTTTCTGTACTAGCCCCTTTAAAGAACGTTCAAATCGATTACACTTTTAAATTTGTTCACCACGGGTTGTGCCTTCTTCAACCAATATTGTACTCCTCCAAGAAGGAGCTTGTCGAAGTTGCTTTTTGTAGAATTAAATGCTCCCAACTTTGTACTGTTTAGCTTCTGTTTTAATAACAACAAAAAAATGACGTGGGTTATAAAATAAGGGGAAAATACATGAATTGAACTGGTTGGTTTTATTTAGGGTTGTGAAGGTAAAACAAATATAAGGAACAAACAAACAAACAAACAAACAAAAAAGCAAAGCATGGCTTAACACAGTTTCCAAGGAGAAAGAAGCAGATGAGACGATGAAAATGTATACCATTCATTCCTTTACTCATTTATTCAACAGATCAGTTCTGAATACTTAGTAAAAGGTCCTGGGGCTAGGATCAAAACCAAAAGAAATAGATTTTGTCGTTGATTTTAAACTCTCATCCTGCCAGGTACAGCCTTGACTCATTTGAAGTAGATGGATGAAAAGTCAACAGGTTGGACACCAAAGAGAACAGAAGAGCTGTGCTTGGCGGGCAGATTCTCTGCAGTTTGGTACAGGAGAAGCATAGAATTACTGCACCACCATTCCCACATCAAGTTTACTATCTGCCTGAGGCCCAATTAATGGCAACAGAAATGTCATTCGGAACAATTTCTCCATCCAGTGGCATCGCTTATCAACTTACGAAAATAACGCCAATGATGGCCAGGCGAGGTGGCTCACGCCTGTCATCCTAGCACTCTGGGAGGCCGAGGCGGGAGGATCGTTTGAGCTCGGGAGTTCGAAACCAGCCTGAGCAAGAGCGAGACCCCGTCTCTACTATAAATAGAAAGAAATTAATCGGCCAACTAATATATATAGAAAAAACTAGCCGGGCATGGTGGCGCATGCCTGTAGTCCCAGCTACTAGGGAGGCTGAGGCAGGAGGATCGCTTGAGCCCAGGAGTTTGAGGTTGCTGTGAGCGAGGCTGACGCCACAGCACTCACTCTAGCCTGTGCAACAAAGCGAGACTCTGTCTCAAAAATAATAATAATAATAATACCGATGATGATGATAATGATATGAGCCTTCACTTGGTATTTAAAAGCAATGTACATGCATTTACCTGTGTTAGTTTTTTTATTCCTTCATGGGAGGGAGACTATTATTATGTCCATTTTATAGACAAAGAACCAGAAGCTAAGATGGGTCAAGGAACCTGTCCAAGGCCACAAAGCGTAAGCGGCAAAACCAAGATCTAAAAGCACGTGCTCTGTGGTATAACTCCCATTTTAGAATTAATTTGTTTGGGCTCCAAAATAAAAAAATGTTGGATTCTATAAAGTCTATATCCTTATTTACCCTGCCCCCGGACTCTTCAAAGGTTATAATTATCCCTACCTTTCTCCCTCGAGCACCCTGTTTTCCTTTGAGCTGCCTGGTAGAGCAGCTGGGGTGACCAGCTCGATTTTCATCCTGGAAAACCAGTCCTTCCCATCACCTCTCTCCAAGCAGGGGGAGCCCCATCTAGCTGGCCCTCCAGAACTTTCTGCAAATGAATCACCCAGAATCCTGAAGCTCAGCAAAACTTTTGCAGTCTAACCCGAGAGTAATAACAATTTCTGGCACGGAAAGAATGTTTCCCCTACCGCCATGAAGGCCTCTGGGAATAGCCAAGAGGAAATGGCAGGACTGTTATTAACTGTGAGGTCATCTAGCACTGGTGGCCCGGAGACCTAAGGAAAAAGTATATTCTTTCCTTGGGATCACATTTTCTAGCCACAAACTTGTTTTATGGCACCCATTGTTTTTTTTTTTTTCAAGGACAATGTCCTCTTCCTAAGGAAATTTTTTGCCTCTCATGGGTCGTTCGAAATTTTCGGCGAGGCGCAATCTTGGTTAGCTAAACGTCAGATTCCTGCGCTATTTGGGAGACTACTTTTTAAATATGAGATCTTATCATTTCGTGCTCAGGGCCTGTATGCTTTGTGAAGTTGTAAAGGCCAACAAAACCACAGAGATTCTGTTTTCCTTTCAGCGTAGGTTGCCATGTCCCTAAACCCAGGGTATTCTTGGCGTAAACTAGAATAAACTTTCCGGAGCATCTATTATTTGCCAGCCTCTGTGCCTAGGGGTCTTGTATATGCTATTGCTTTTATAATCCTTACAAGGACTCTTAGACATGAGAATTACTATTATTTCTATTTTAGTGATGAGAACATGGCTAAGTAACTTGCTCAACACGTTGACAATTTTTGAAGCTGCTGATGGGTACATGGGGGGGGGTGTTGAACTCTTTTTCTCTAATTTTATTTATGTTTCAAACCTTTCATAATACAATGTTGTCATTGCTATTGCTTTTACAGTCACTTCCCTGAAATCACCTAGCTCACAAGTAGAGCCTGTGGTTTCAAGTCCAAATCTATTAGCCCGTAAAAATCAAAGTCCTTCACCGTGACGGCTGCCCAGTTGACAATTATAGCCAACATCTCTCTCCCGGATGCCAGAACAACTTCCTAGAAAACCTGAAACCCAAACCAAAAACGAGGCGGCCCATGTGATGTTCATCAGCAGCGGGCAACCGTCCTAAAATGATTCTTGGGATCGAAATCCCTGAGTGTGTCAGGTTACAGAAAAAAGGTGAACGTGGCTGAGTGTTTTCCTTTCCCAGACCAATCAGAGCCACCTCCATCCTCACTAGGAATAAACTTTATTTATTTATTTATTTTGCATACCATTTGGGGTCTAAACAACCTCTTCCTAACGGGTGCTGTGGGTCCAAGAACAGCAAATATGGCGTCTGGCTGCAATCCCAGCGCCAAGTGAACCCCACATTTGCTGTTTCCTGGTTATTTCATCCCTCAAGATAGAAACTTTTGTCTCAAATAATGACCGCTGGATCTTTGAGACTGGGTCTACACGATTCTTTTTAATTAAACACCTAACAGCAATACACAGCTCAGGTTTCTGTATCCAATCACTACTGACTTGAGGGCTTCATTCCCTTATTTCTTAAAAGAGATGTATAAAATATTCTTTGTTTTCTAAGTGAAAGCAGTAATTTTGTTTTCTCCCGGGAGAAAAATCTCACCAACCCCTGTGAGACATGTTCCCGTCCTTAGATATTGGGAAACCTAGGCTTAGGACTGATTGACCCCCTGACACCAAATCTCCCATCACAATGATGAACAACGTCTAGCCCCAACTGTTAGAGTCTTTGTCCCCAAGCCTTGGATCTTTGTTATATTTTTGAGGAAACATGAGATTCCTCCTCTCGCCGAAAGTTTGGTTTAAGTGAAACTCAGACTCGCCTGAGGCTAGTTTCTGGAGAAGCGGAGAGTCCTGGGAAGCCTCAGCCATCTGTCAGGGGTCAGGCATTGCTTAGTTTGTAAAAAGAAAAAAGAGAAACTTCTCTGTAGAGCTTAAGAACATAAACCAGAAAAAAGAAAAAAGAAAAAAAAAAAAGGCTGTTGGATTGTGTGTTCTTTGCTTATCATGAAAATGGCTTATTCTGATAATCCTTCTCGGGGGAGACCCTTCTGAAGCTGTGGGTTTTCTGAACACGAGGAAAGCATTTTGATGCCTTGAGAATGCTGATAAGGAAAAGCCATACGCCAGCGATCCTCTTGGCCAAATCTGTTGTTCCCTAAACATCCATATCAGGTCTAAATCATTCAAATGTTGCAAAAAGTAATGTAAAAGCCTATCTACCTCTTGCTAAAATAAATCACTAACATTTGATGTATTTGAGCCAACAAATTATCTTGGCATGAGAGAGGAAGGATCTAAAATCTAACAAAGATTCACGCCACTCACTCCATAGCCACACTAGCCCCCATCACCAGTGAATTAAACCAGACACGTCCTTATCATTCTCAGGTCTAGTGTCTTCATCCAGAAGTTTTAATGCTTATCAAGCCCTAGGTCCCCTTTCTATGACAAATATTTGATAACATAACCAACAATTTGAAAAAAACATTAACGTGATGAGCTCATCACAGTATAGAGGAGAAATAAAGTTAATTTATGATAACAGATATTTTAAAATGTAAGTGATTACACTAGAGATATGCTTTGTCTGTATTTTCCTAACAGAAATATGCTTTGTGTGTATTCACATACATCAAATCACTGTGGATTTTGGAAGAGTTAGCATAGTCACAGAATGTTGTCCATTTTTCCACTTTCCATTTGATAATTTGAAACAAGAACTAAGTGCATTCATACACACAGGCGTAGACTTAACCACGAGTCTGGTGGTTACAAACTCAAAAAAGTGATACTCAAGCGCAAATTTTTACAAGTGGTCTTGTCATTGGGGATTGGAGATAGGATTTTCTGAAATGGTGAACAGTGCTTGGTAAAACTGAAGCGAATCGACTATAACCCCACCCTCTGTGGTTGCAGGCCTGGGATATATACTAATAAAGCATTACCTAGATGTTTTATATAGATATCTATGTCTACCTGTAATTATGTAGTCTAGGTTCTACACAAGATAATTACATGCAGGTGTTCAACCAAATGAATGTCCAGCATGACATCTGAAAGTCATCCAAGAATCGAGAAAATTCCCCTCTGTGTGCATCCATTCCAGGCTCTGTAGGATGACAACTGTTCCCAGACTTCACCCATCAGTGCCAATTGTCACTCAGTGACAACTGTGAGAACCTAAATCAGATTTTTGAAAGCTTCCTGGTGGCGCTGCCTTTGAGAACCGATGTCTAATGGAAGCATCTAGCCAAAACTCTCAGCACTTCCACAAGAATCTGTGCTGGGAACCAACAATTAGGATCACACTTCGTACTTGATACCACGCATCCTTACAAAGCCAAGTCTACTGTTGACATGGCCTGCCGTTAGCCTGCCGGCTCGACAAGAGATCTCCTACTTCAGAATCATTGCATTAATTATTTCTAGGGTTCATATCAACAGCTAAATTATCCGCTAACCCGTGCTTATACTTGAAAGTTTCATATGGACATTGCTCATCCTCCCAATTCAACTGGAAACTCCTCGAAAGCTGTCTTCTCAGTATTTTCTATTAACGCAGTTCCGAAGACTATGGACCAAGGATGAGTTAATGAAGCTAAAAGCTTGGGGAAACAGAGTTCATACTTTTCGTGCGTATGAAAATGCAAATGTGGGAGCAATCCAGACAATAACTCAAACTTCCAAGTCATCATTCCACCTAAATGTTATTTCCACCGTACAAATTCATACCGACCCCCATTCACGGTGCCCGGTGGTCTTGCTCAAAACCCATCCGGGCCATATTTCTATGACGCTCAAAAACCAACCCATCCACCTTTTCGAAAGCAATATTTCTCAAACCGTGATCTGTATCTACTACCTTGGTCAGAATCAACTAAAGACACTTATTAAAAACAAAACAGAAAGCCAATACTGGACGCTGTCCACTAGAATCCACACTTTGAGAAACATTGCTCTGTAGAAGATGCATCCACTCGATTAAGCTAATTTCTTTATCACAGAACCACTCATCTATGTTTCCGGAATGTGAGTAGGCCATTGACATTAATGAGAAACTCAGTCAACGGGACAGGGCAGCCTCCAAGTCCAACTGTACAATCCTACAGTCCCCAAATCTCACGGAAAGCACCAGGCCACAAGGAGTGCCATTATTTTGTCAGTTGCCATTTGGTGATGCCGCCTAATTGATTTCAGGGCCTTAGCACCTGGTATTTGCCCATTAATCCAGCAACATTTTGACTTTTACCACATATCGTTTTGCTAGACAAAAATCT